GAGAAACAAACTGAGGGTTCTAGAGGGGAGGGGGGTGAGGGGATGGGTTAGCCTGGAGATGGGTATTAAAGAGGGCACGTATTGCATGGAGCATTGGATGTTATATGCAAACAATGAATCATGGAACACTACATAAAAAAAAGAAGCCATTTACTTTTGGCTGAAGAAGTGGTGAAAGAGACTTAGTTTTCAAAGAGAGGAATGGAGAATTCCCCATTTATCTTTTTTTCCTTTCTCCATATTCTCACATCCCAGCCCCCAAGCAATCCCACAGTTCCCATATGAGGAGCTATGATTACAAGAGAGTGAGGTTAACACCCATTGCTTTTTTTCTTTCCCTGTCCTACTGCTACTTGGCACTGAACACAGGTACATTCCCAGGAAGTATAGTGCAGAGTAACTAGAGTCTCAGCTTTGCAGCCAGAGAAACCAGAAAGTACCAGGGAAATCACAGAAAGGGAAGAGTTCAGAAGAACGAGCCTATAAACTTTGTTTATAAACTCCTGGGCTCATTCCCAGGCAGCTCATGCATGGATCATACCTTAAACAGAAGAGCAAAAACCTGAAGAAAGGAACTACAGGAAAGGCCGCTGACCATGCACGTTACTGGCCACTAAGTGGAACATATACCGGATATATTTAACTAGGACTGCAAAGGCTTTAAAAATGGAACTGACATTGGAGTGCCTGGGTGGCTCAGTCATTAAGCATCTGCCTTATGCTAAGGTCATGGTCCCAAGGTCCTGGGATCGAGCCCTGCATTGGGCTCCCTGCTCAGCAGGAAGCCTGCTTCTTACTCTCCCACTCCCCCTGCTTGTGGTCCCTCTCTTTCTCTGTCTCTGTCAAATAAATAAATAAAATCATTAAAAAAAAAAAAATGGAACTGACATTGAAATGACAACCCATAGAAGGCTGGTCAGAACTTTTGGCCTGAAACCAAAAAGGTAGACTGCCTGCTAAAACAAAAATATCAACGTTCTCTGTAGGATTTACACAAGATCCAGAGTTTCATAACACAATGTTTTTAAAAGTCCAGGTTACAATCCAAAATTATTCAGCAGTACAAAAAACTAAGAAAATCTTGAGCACCTGGGTGGCTCAGTCAGTTAAGTGTCCAACTCTTGATTTCAGCTCAGGTCGTGATCTCAGGGTCGTGAGATGGAGCCCTGCATTGGGCTCCATGCTCGGCATTCAACCTGCTTAATATTCTCTCTTTCCCTCTCCCTCAGCCCCCCACCACACTCGCATGCTCTCTCTCTCTCTCTCACACACACACACAAAAAAAAACAAACACGTCAACTCACAATGGAAAAAACAATCAACAGACCCATATGTTGAAATTATCAGACAAAAACGTTAAAGTGGCTAAAATAAAAATGCTCAGAGATACAAGTGAACACTCTCAAATCAATAATCTAAGCTTCCATCCTAATCAATTAGAAAAGGAAAGCAAAACAAATTCAAAGCATGCAGAAGGCAGGAAATAATAAAGAGCAGAAATCAATGAAATTGGGCGCCTGGGTGGCTCAGTTGGTTAAGCGACTGCCTTCAGCTCAGGTCATGATCCTGGAGTCCCTGGATCGAGTCCCGCATCAGGCTCCCTGCTTGGCAGGGAGTCTGCTTCTCCCTCTGACCCTCCCCCTCTCATATGCTCCCTCTCATTCTCTCTCTCTCTCATAGATAAATAAAATCTTAAAAAAAATCAATGAAATTGACAACAGAAAAAAATCATAGAAAATATGAATGAAGTCAAAATCTGGTTCTTTGAAAAAGAACAATAAAGTATATAAATCTCTAGGAAGACCAAGAGAGAAGAAACAAATTATCAATATGAGGAATAAAGGAGGGAATACCAGTACTAATCTTGCAGACATTAAAGCGATAATACTAAAATGCTATATGCAATTCTACACACATAAATACAACAAAGAAATGGATGAAAAAGACTAATTCCTCCAGAACCAGAAACTACAAAAACACACCCAAGATGAAATATATTACCTGAATAGTCCTTTAACTATTAAAGAAATCAAGTGTGGAGCTTAAAACCTTCTGAAAAGAAAACTCCAAGCCCCGATGTTTTCACTGGAAAATTCTACTAACATTTAAAGAATAAATGACATGAACTCTACACGACCTCTGACAGAAAATAGAAAAGGAATACCTCAAACTCATTTTATGAAACCAGCATTACAATGATACCAAAACCAAAAAAAAAAAAAAAGCAAAGAAAAAAAAAAAACTATAAGGGTGCCTGGCTCAGTCGGTTGAGCGTCTGCCTTCAGCTCAGGTCATGATCTCGGGATCCTTGCTCATC